TATATATATATACAGAATATATATATATATATTCTGTATATATACTTCCATAAGTAACCCCTGTTACCCCTGTGAAGAGTGGGAGCATCGTTTAACGGTGGGACTGTGCAAAATCCAATAACGAAGAGAAACCAGCACACAAAGAAGTAGATTCTGAAGCAGGATTTTCTGAAGTCCCAGATCAGGAAAATACGTTACGTCGTTTTTCAAGGTGACAACCACACCTTTCTGTCACCTTTTTAGCTGAAATTGAATTTTAGTAAATAATGCTTCAGAATCAATTTCTTGGTGTGCTTTGTGTGATTTCTCTTCATTATGTTTCAGGTCAGTGTCTCAAAGTATTGTAGCCAGGGGAAGCCAGGCAAATAGCATTGTCAGAAGGAGGTTATCAATGACACAGTCTCAACTTTGTTCAGTAAAGGTTCCCTTTAAATCTGAATAGTTTTGATAAAAGAAACAACATTAATTATTACGTATGAACTTGCATCTGCCTAGTGGCAGCTGTCATACATAGGAAATTATGCGATTTAAAATAGTTGCTCCCCTTACATCTGCCACTTACTGGTGTCCAGTCTGTCCTGATTTGCCATTCACTGCAGATCTTCAGCTGACAAGTGCTGGTTGTCTCTGGTTTTTCCAGGCTCTGGCAGCGATGGGGCTGTACAGTATGGGTACGATTAGCGTAAATGTGTCTGCACAGGATCTGGCGGTGTTGCATTCCTAGGCCGCAGGTCTTACTACATTCAGACCACTCGCCTATGTCCCAGCTGGTTAAAAGAGAAGCAGAAGTAAAGCTACTGTTAACATAGCAACTGTTATCATACATATTAACTAGAACATTATAACATATTTATCCATATATTTGTGTATGCATAACACCCATACACACGTATGTAGTACTTTGCAAACACTCTATGGCAATTCTCTTTTTTTGAGTATTGAATCTCAAACTTACATCTTGTTCTCTATTATATATTTATTTAAAATGACTGAAATTCAAACTTAAAAATATAATGTCTGCATAACTATATATTCCACATGCTACAATAATTGTTGGCACTACCTTACTACCAGTAACATAACCAAAATATATTTTTAAAATATTTCAAAGCATTTAGCTGTTTTTTTTGGAGGTGACCTTTGGCCAGACTACATACAACATGTACTTGCACAAATGCACATGGACAAGCACTAAAAATTGTTGAAACATTTCAGAATATTGTTCCTCAACGTAAACTTGCAAAGACTTTAAATATATCACTATCCACAGTACCTAATATCATCAAAAGAAGAATCTGGAGAAATCTCTGTGCACAAGGGACAAGGCCGAAACGCAGTATTGGATGCCCATGATCTTTGGGTCCTTAGGCGGCACTGCACTAAATACAGGCATGATGCTGTAATGGACGTCACTGCATGGGCTCAGGAATACTTCCAAAAATCATTGTCTGTGCTCGCCGTGCCATTCAAAAATGTAAGTTAAAGCTCTATCATGCAAAGAAGAAGCCATATCGGAACATGATCCAGAAACGCCGCCATCTTCTCTGGGCCGAAGCTCATTTAAAATGGTCTGTTGCAAAGTGAAAAACTGTTCTGTGGTCAGACGAATCAAAATTTGACATTCTTTTTGGCAACTATGGGCACCTCATTCTCTGGACTAAAGATGAGAGGGACCTTCCAGCTTGTTATCAGCGCTACTTCAAAAGCCTGCATCTCTGATAGTATGGAGGTGCATTAGTGTCTATGGAATGGGCAGCTTGCACATCTGTAAAGGTCCCATCAATGTGGAAAGATATATCCAGGTTTTAGAGCAGCACATGCTCAGATACAGACAATGTCTTTTTCAGGGAAGGTCTTGTATATTTCAGCAGGACAATGCTACATTGCATAGTGCATCCATGACAACAGCATGGCTTCGTAGTAGAAGAGTCCGAGTGCTTAGCTGGCCTGCCTGCAGTCCAGACCTTGCACCAAGTGAAAATATTTGGAACATCTTGAAACGAAAAATAGAAGACCCACAAGTGTCGAGCAGTTGGAATCCTATATCAGGCAAGAATGGGACAACATTCCTCTCCCAAAACTCCAGCAACTGGTGTCCTCAGTTCACATTTACAGAGTGTTGTTAAAAGAAGAGGGGATGCTGCCCCATGGTAAACATGATCGTGTCCTAACTTTTTTGAGAAATGCTGCATCAATTTCAAAATGACCTTAATTTTTTTGTAACATGGTAAATTTTCTCAGTTTAATCATTTGATATGTTTTCTATTTTCTATTATGAATAAAATATGGGTTTTACGAGATTTGTAAATCACTGCATTCTGTTTTTATTAAGATTTTACACAGTGTCCCAACTTTTTCAGAATTGGGGTTGCATTCAAGATTCAATCTAATTAACAAATCTCAATTTTTTGTTGAGGAGATAGGGTTACTTACAAAATTTGAGCCATGTATACCCAGATTAAGGTGCTTTTTTTCCCCTGGTTGTTCAGGTGAGTTGGATGCGGTAGGTGTGCACCTGTGATGGTAAGACCACGTGTGAAAGAACTGGGTCATGCCTGTAGTAGGTGTGTGGGGGGTGGGAACTGGCTCTAGAGATCTTAAAGTAGACAATATGCCTTAGGAGCCCAGCTAATTTTCACTCTGGCAGCCATCCAAGTTTCAGAAACCTGAGATATTATCATTAATAGATTATACAGTATATAGGGATAAAAGGTTTGGAGATTAAAAACATAAAATTTTTTTGTTTAGAATGGAGTTCCACTTTAGTTACCCAAACAGAAATCGGGATTTTGTGGCACAACAGGTATGACAAGGAAAAATGATCCTCTTATCTTGACCATTGGTTCATTTAAAAAGGCAACCAAGGTGCCAAGGTGGGGCAAGTTTAGCTCCTACATACTGTTTGTAAATCTCCTTTACAACCTCCTAGAAGGAGATCTTCCTATTGGTAAAAGTAACATAATGAACTGCTATGGCCATCATTTGTACAAAGTAAGCATTGCTACTCCTTGCTGCACCTTCCTTTCAACGGGTTGCAATGCAATATCCTAATTTAGTGGAATTTCACCTTGCAAAGCAATTTAAAGACTACTTACTGCTTTGCAGCAACCAAAGAAAAAAGCATGTGCCTTTTTTAGTCCAAGCAGTAATAGATGATTGAAGATGCCTTCACTTACACTGACCTCTTTGAAAAAGCAAGTAGATTTGTCAATTAATATAGCACAGATGCCGTGCCACTGTATTTCCACAGACAGGAAGCAAATAGTTGGTGAAGCAGACTGAAAGGTGTGCTTGTTTTTGTTTATTTGTTGCGTTAAGTGAATCAAGCAACAGTTTAGATTTTTTTTAGGTCGACTGTCTGGGTCCATGGACAGTAGTGCAAAACGTGTCAATATTTGAGAGGTGCATTGTAAATAAAGAAAAACATTTCCATAAATATTCAACATTTTTTCATGATTCGCAACCTCTGTGCATCACATGAGCTAAAGATTTAGAACATTTTCCTGAAAATGCCAAAGTTAACATCAGATATGCAACATGTTTACACTTCAAACACACACAAATCGTATGCCTAATAATAGTCACCTAACAAGGTTTAGTCCATTTTTTAAACAAAAAATGACAGCATAATGGAACAAAAAAGATTAAAAGGTTATAAAAAATCTAAAATGGTTTAGAATCATCAAAATGCATAGTTATTTTCAGGTTTATACTCCTTTTTCAGTGTAGGAATGCCACCATGCATGTTACCTGCGTTAAGAAATAGACACCATTAAGAGAGATACTTACAATGCAGGACAAGGAAAGAGATTGCATGGCTCTTCTTCAGAATTGGGCTTGGTACTAGAATCACAGAAAGCATCTGACACCTCCTCATGTGTATTTCTGTTTACACAGCGAAATATGGGGTACTGTGATCCTGAAATAAGACAAATATTAGTAGTGTGTTAATTATGAGAATGCAGACTTTGAATTCAGCAACATTCTTAGTATTTGTATAATGCTTGTCTTATGGCCACATGATAATATGCTCTCATGGGGGGAAACATTATCATTTTTTGAAATGCAAATAACATCATTTCAATCATCTGCTGCATCCTGTTGTATGCTGTAACCTGCTGCATTTAATAAAGATCTTCGTGGAAGAAAAGATATTTGGTGATTTCAGCTATCTAAGGAACACTGTCCGTGGTGATTGTATCTACTTATACATGCCAGACATAGAAGTTTCAGCCGGGGTTAAATCACTAATACAACGGTTGGAGTCAGAATAATATCCTTCAGCTATATTTAACAATGATTTATGTAGCAGGTTGAAACTTTCAACTTGGCAACTTTTGCATTTACAAAAAATGACAGGTGTGTCAGAGAATAGGTGTGAGCAAGTGAACAACCCTGGGACTTCTCAGCCCGACTGCTATTAGCAATACAGCTAAAGTCTAATAACAAATCAATAGAGGCAGAAATGAAAGCTTACAACTGTTTTTGGTTGTTTCTGTGGTTCTCAACCTGTGGGTTGCGACCCATAAATGGGTAACAGCATGCCTTCTTCAGTGATAGGAGGAGGCACAGCAGCGTCAGTTCTCCTGCCGCATGTTGCTGGAGCAGCTGCGGCCAGGGAGGAGCAAAGAGCTGCAGAGTGGGTTTTTTCTACATTTAGCCCTGCTTCGGGCAAGCAGGGATAAATGTACAGCTGCCTACATCACTTGTAATTAGCATGCTGTTCCGTCCCAACTGCCCCCCTTCCCCGCGCCACTCTCCCCCAATAAAGTGAACCTGTAACCTCCAAATGCTATCACACAGGGGCTTGTTAGCTCCTGTGTGATAGCAATAAAATTAAGTGAAAAAAGTAAATAAAAATTAAATAAATAAAAATTGCTAAAAAGTAAAAAAAATAAGAAATTCAATAAATGAAAAATAATAAGATAAATAATAATTAAAAAGAAAATTAAAAAAGTGATAACAAAATAAACAATAATAAAATAAAAATTATAAAAAATAAAAAAAGTATAAGATAAATAAAATTTTTAAAAAGTTAAAAAAATTAGAAAATAATAATAATAATAATACAATTTTTTTTTACCGTTGGGGGTCACCACAACTTAGTAAATGTTACCAAGGGGTCCAAGCCCTAGAAAAGTTGAGAACTACTGCTGTAAACCTAAATGTTGGCTGAATATATGCCTGGACTGTTTATCCCTGGTACTACCATGACATGCAGTGTTAACTAGACCACAAAAAGCCTAAAAATGCACAAATATCTGTTTCCCTTCACCCACCTCACCTTTCCCACAGGATACTGAACATTCAGTTGATCCCACTTGTTTCCAGTTATGGTCTCGATTCCTTCGAGGAGGCTGCAATGGAAGCACTTGGTTGTCTGGTACATGAGTAGGGATCCTCCCAGGCTGTCTGGAAGGCACGGATCCAGCTGATAGATCAGGACCACTGAAGGAATCTGTGTTCTCCGTATGGTCTGAAGTATCTGGTATGTCTAACTGGCCATTCAAGGGTTCACCTAATACACAAAATTAACATGAATATGTTAAGATATGAATTGAGCAAAGCGTAGGATATTAATAATTTTCTAGCGGCTAGAAGAAGCTATACTGAGAATTGAAGTAGACCTTTCCATACATTTGTAGCAAAAATGTTTGCAAAAGTGAATTTTGGTTCATATTTATTTTAATTAAATGATGCCATACACTGATTATTACTTACTAGTAACACCAAAAAGCTCAAATTTTACTTTTTATATGTACATATATTGCAATAATTTTAAGTACGTATTTCAACGTTTAGTAATAATAAACAGCATTTAATATCCAGTGAAGTTAGCTGTACCATTTGATGTAATAAAACAACTGAAGCTATAATAACATTCCATAAAGTGTCATAGCGACATCAAGAACAAGATCAGTCGTAGTAAGGTGATACAACAATGTTTGTTTATGTATTTTTGTCATTCAGATTGCAATTTACCTTTTGTTGTTCTTTACATTACAGAGTTTTACCGCTATTTGGAAAATGTAAGAAAGATTCTTTTAGTTAACCTGACACCAAACTGGGCAATTCCAACTAAGAATATTACTTTTAAAAATACATAAACAGAGGGTTCCTTCTATAACTTCATGTTAAAACAATAAGTAGATCCAGAAGTAGGTCCAAATAAGTAGGTCCAAACCTGACTTTGTTATATATCAGGATCTACTCATTATTTTGGCACTGGAGGTAACATCTAATGGATCTTTCCTCATATAATCTTCTTAAATATTCCTGGTTAATGACAGGAAAACTTTAAAAGGTCAATGCACCACAAATCCATAATGCTCCATTATTCATTAGTAACTTTGCATTGACAAGCAAATGGTAGATACTGTATGCAAGCCGGCAAAAAATCTGTTTAATTTAATTTCTGATTTTTTGTTCTTTGTTGTTCTTTCAAACCCGAAAGCTGTTTCGTTTTTCGGATTCAGATCTTTTAGTATTTCGTTTTAGTTCCGGATGGGATTTTCTGATCGGCCAGAAAACAGTCAAATATCCAATTTAGTTTCATTTTGAATAAAATTTGGTTGATCCAAAATTTAATGAAAGAACATTGGGATTTGTTTGCATTCGGCATCATTGATATTCGTACATTCGGATGTATCCGAATGTCTGAACTCCACAAAATGTCATCCGAATTTGCATTTGGAACGAAAACAAAATGTACATGTCTAGCAAATGGGCTGCTATCAATTAAAGAGGAACTCTGGGGTGTACAATGTATAGAACATGAGGATGCCAAGGGACATTCCATTGCTGCAGCACAGGAGACAGGCTTCAGAGAGCACTGTCACAGCCAGCCACCTCAGAGGATCGGTTACTTTGACCCTACACCAAAAAGAGCAGTTTACCCTTGCAGTGCCGAGGCAGCCCCACTGCAAGGGTTAACATTTAATTCCCTGGAGTTCTGCTTTAAATCTATTTTTGCATATTTGTGGCCCTCCTAGCTAGAACAAATTAGAGAGAAAAACGAAATATCTAAATACAAAGCAGCTCACCAATTATCGCCATACGCCATTATGCCTGGTTAGACCTTCTACTTATTGATTATAGGACTACAAGGAAGTCTATAAGTAGCACAAGATGGAAAAACATATTTTTTTGGTTTTGTTTTTCTGTTTTTTTTAGATTAAAAAAAAACTGCTATGATGAAATATTAGTTTCAATGCCGTCTGATTGACAATCAGCAGAAGAAAAGCTGATTGGATGAACTCAGGGTTTTGAAAGATTTGCTCATGTCTACACACAATACAATGCAATAGCCTACAAACTAAATCAACCTTACCTGCAGAACAGCATGCCCCGCATGTAAAATGTACATAACATCAGCACCGCACTGTAATATAGAAAGATTAGGGTCACATTATTTTAGGACGTACAATCTTACCTGGTCTTCGTTGTGAAGGTAGATGTGGGCTGATAGTATTTGTATTTGGAACAACATATTCATAATGAATTCCAGGGTTTGGCTGTTGATGTATCATCTAAATTAGAAATATAAGCCTCATTTAAATATGCAAACATTATTTTAAATATCCTTTGCATGAATTACACATTATTCCAGTTGTGTAAATGGTCCATTTTAGATTATTATTATTTATAAAAAAAACCCTAACATTTCTCCATTCTTTACAGAAAGTAATTACTGTTCTAGTTTCACACAATGTTTCCACTTGAATTTACCATATTTCGAGAAAATAATCATTTAGCAAATATATTTTGCAATTATTTTAAAACTATGACTTTCTAGTAACTTTTGTTTTCAAACATTTTGCTCATTATTTATGCACACGGTTACCTGTCAAATAGATTATCTTCTATGTTAGGGCAGGTTCACACCATTTTACCACATTTTTGCCGCGTTTGTTTTTTATTAGCCTAAAATGGTTTTACAGGTGCATTCCAGTGCGTTTGTATGCATTTTCGATTAATTTCTATGCGTCTAGTGCATTCCAGACCAGACAAAATAAGACAAACAGTATTTTTATAGATTGGCCTGGACTGTGCTCGTGTGACCAGAGGCCAGAAATAGAATAAGGATATATTAGGATGCATTTTGGGTCTGGAAACAATCTGGTCTGGTCTGGAGGTGATCTGGATGTGTGAATTGGCCCTCAGGAGTAGGACTGTTTCTAAAAGTGGTGTAATTTTTTGAACCATTCTGCAACCGTTCTAGTCTTTTAACCATTGCTACACCACATTCAAGGGGGGAGGGTGGGAGTGAGATGTAGCAGCAAAATCAGGTAAATTGCAGTGAAATAAAAATCAATAACTTTTTACTGATCTTTATAAATAGGTACCCTGAACAATAAAATAGAAGCAAAGACCCATATTTACAGTGATGCTTTAATACACTTGGCCAACAGGTGGCAAAGTACTAATGCAAACAATTGAAGCCAATAAGAACATTTTCACATATGTATATAGCGCTAATGTTAAGTGGTTCTATTATTTATTCATATGCAGCTAAATCCAAAATGACCCCTTGTGAAAATAAAGACCAGAATCACACTCTCGGACCTCAATGTAACCCAAACGTACATGCACTAAAGAATGGCAATAGGTTGTATGCCAAATGTAGCTATTAGCTAAAGATCTACCCAAACTACATGTAATAAGATTTTTGTAGCATTTCAGTATGTTATACATTTAGTGGTGCAGCAGATTTATTCACACAGCTCCACATATGTGGATAAAAAAGCCATTTAAAAAGCCAACCTGCATGAACATTATGCAATCATACATCCCAAATGCCCCTCATTATCGAGGGAAAGTTTCTCTTTTGGAACCACGTCCCTTTGTCTCTCTTTCCTCCTCAATTGTCCCTCTTTTTGGTTTGATGTAAAGACCTCAATAATAAATGTACTATTTAACTGCCTAAAGTGTTATATTAGCCTATGTGAACATACCTGTACCTACCACAACTGCCCCCTACTGAGGAAAAGCTTCAAAACATGACCTGTTAGGGGAACTCAGGGACTGAAATTG